AAGACTGAAAGAAAGACTGAAAGAAAGACTGAAAGAAAGACTGAAAGAAAGACTGAAAGAAAGACGGAAAGAAAGACGGAAAGAAAGACGGAAAGATAGACGGAAAGATAGACGGAAAGATAGACGGAAAGATAGACGGAAAGAACGAATGAAAGGAAAGACCGTACAAAATACAAGATAAGTAACGTGATTTTTCACTCAATAAAAATTCTATGAATTCAAATATAACTGCATTTAGACGAGCTTATAAAAAAAGTGCATAAAGTCATAGTGCGGGGATCCAGGAAAGCAGTTTACATCAGTGAACTCTGAAACTAACAAGAGGTCCTGGCTCAGCGCTACGTTGCTTCAGAAAAGACCCCTGAACCCCTGCCGAGTAGGCACACCAAGATGCCCACGCGTGGCAAGGGTGGACAGTATTTCAAACTGAAAACCAACATCCACCATGTCGGACACTCGGATTTCTATGAAACGTCGTCTGCAGATAGTGTATAATCGAAAATGGAAAAGTTAAATTTTTGAAGTGGTTTTGACCGTCAAAAGATGAATCATGACGGAAAGTATTAAGTGTTGAAATGTCTCCGCCGGCCGTTTCGCGGACACGAGCGAAAGGGTGAAAGCAGTTTACGTCAGTAAACCCTGGAACTAGCAGTTGCGCCTTTCAACGCCTAGCGCGACCTCGGATCAACCCACACCGGTGACAGCTGGGTCTCGCTCGCAGAAATAGGTCTCGGAGAAGCTGTCGGGGCACTGGGTTCCAAATCGAGCATGATTTTTATTAACAAGAACACTCACATTACATGACTATGTTATATTGTTACAAACTACTCGTACCATTGCATTAGTGGTTTCGTCTATTATTAAAATAAACCACAATCGAAAACCCTGAGTCCAAATTTGATGTCCTCTTGACTATTAAAAGAATTAATTGTTTCTCGGTGAGCCACTTCAGTGCTAGTGGTTAGGAAATCACCCTTTCAGTAATTAATACCACTTCAAGAGAAGTTGCAAGTGTGTTTTCAAGATATAGGATTATTACAATATTGGCAAAATAAGTTATTTGAATCGCCATATTTTTACATTACGAACTTCTAAATAATCTAACTTATAAATCATCAATTGAAATCAAGCTAATTTAATTGTAGTATACTTCAATAATATAATTTTAATGTTTTAATGTAATAAGAGAAAGGTTTCCAACCGGATGAAAATGCGAGGCATGAGAAAGCAGTCGAAATACAGCACATCCAAATATCGCATTAGATCTGGTGCTGAAGGCTAATGTCACACTAGAGAGGATAAGATGCTGTTTTCATAGGTTTGGGTTAATTTGCATCCTAGGGCTTTGCATCCCAAACGCCATTATTTTAGATTTCTATGAAAAAAACGAATTAAGAAAAAATAATATTTATTTTTTTGAACATAGAAAATCATAATAATGTTATAGATCTAGAGATATATTCAAATTAGAATTCAATTAATTCTTATCACCATAATTATAAATTATAGTGTTGCTATGAATTTAAATTCACCTATCATCGTTTTATCGTTGAAACTAAATATATTTCTCTGGATTTAATTCATTTCGGTGTAAAACACGACGAGTTACTCATGTATCCTGTATCTAATCTTACCGTGTATTTCCTATTTTCCAGACGTACGCAGCAATTTCATGCCATGGCTGATGAGCGAAGTACAAGCAGAGATGAACAACATGGTCAACAGCCGCGATATCATTATGGGTGAGTATTTTGCAAAATCCTAATTTTATCTTACATCCATCACGTAAAAGTTGCTTTAGCATTATGTTTTTTAATTTTAAAAAGTTCAATCCGTTCCTGCAGAAAATCATGATCTAATGACATAGGTACTTATTCATTTGTTATTGCACTGGATATTTTGATATTATATATTTTGCACCATTACCGAATATTATATCTCGACTTTTTGTGTCGATTTATCCGTTATTCCACTGCTTAAAAATTATATTTAAACATTTAATTAATCAATATTGGAAATACGAGTATAGGAAGTTTTAGTTTAGACCAGACTCTTCAAAAATGTTGCTATTAACTATTTAACAAACAACAAAACCACTTGCAATATTTTTCCGGTTTTCTTAGTTAGAGATTATAGATCAGTGTTGTGAGTACAACATGAATTGGGGTTACATATTCACTAAATTCTCAACTGTTTATTCTTACATAATTCCTTATAAAACATTCAATATTCAAAAAGCACTAGGGAGAATCTAATGTAATTAAACCGTTTATTCTAGTTCATTGACACGCATTTCTTGAAAATTACAAACAATTTTTTAAAACATTAATTGAGAAATGTACGTTGTGAAACATGCTACTGTTTTAAATATATTTTTTGTCCAGATAACACACTCCCTTAACATCTTTTGTTTCAAATCTCATAATCTCGAGCTGAAACTTCCTTTAGTGACGAAAGACATTTTAACGCTCGGTCTGTCTTCTTCTCTTTATTCTACTGATTCTCCTTCTTCAAAAATAGGAAGATATATAATTAGTAACTTTTTTCTTCTAACACTACTTTTCAATATAACCACATTATTTTTTTTAACAATGTTACTCACTTCGGGCCTGGGGAGAAGTATCTATCACACTAGAAATTTACTGCATTTGCTTCGAAAATTATTAGTTATTGAACGAGTAAAACATTAGTTTTAGAAATGCACTTTGAAGATATTCAAAAGATACGAGAAATATGCTTTAATAGCAATGAAACTCATGGTCAAAGAATAATTTAAAAAAATAAAACATTGATTCGGAAAAACAAAAATATCCTAATTCAGTTTGTCTTAAAACATTAAAATGAATGGCTATAAAAAGTATTGTACCAAGTACCTGGTAACAATAATATTCCTAATTTTAAATGTTCCGTAGAAATTTTCGTAAATAGGTATAACATCACATATTTATTACAAATTTATTATTATTATTATATAATTTTGTTTTACATTTGTCCAAATAACTTGTATTTTAAATGCATCCCAGAACGTGAAAAATTATTTCTAACAGCGATTTTCAATTCAATAAATTTCGCAATTATTACATAGAAAGGAGTTAACTATAGTTCTAGCTCTTAGGTTGAACATTAGTAGAATTACAGTCTATCGCTAGCATTGTGTGGAAAGATCGTTTCCAAATGGACAAAACCCATTCAGAAACACTTAGCTTTGTGGTCAGAATTATCTTTGTAATCAAAACATATTTTTATTTAAATTTTATTATGAAATAACACAAAAATACTAACTTCTTTTCATCAATATTGAAAACAGTTGTCTTATTACTATAGTTTACCGCAAACTGTTTTTTGTCCAATCATGTAGTGTTTTAGAAGGAAAATATCATTTCTAAAAACACAAGGTGAATTTAAATTTCACCCGCGTTTCCTGTGGAAATAATTTAAAAGGATGTGCTGTAGGCAATTACATTACATTTTTCAGCGTAAGTGACAGCCATGTAGTTATTCATGACGTATGATGCACATTGTGAGAAAATCGTAGGTGAACTCTTTAGCATAACAGGTGCCAAAGTCAATTGTTTTTCTGGAGTAAAGTCTGCGGAATTGCAACTGTTGCTAACCCACAATGCTTTAGAGAATGTGCTAACAATAAGCGCAGATACCCTAGGAATAGGTATTGGGTGATGGTCACTTATTTAAAATCCTACACCCATCAACCATTTCTAGTGGCCATCATCTATTAACTATTCCTGGAATTACGTGTGGCCGTGAATTCAAGAAGTGTTATCCGCAGATAAGTTGCTGACATGTGCTTAAAAAAAACTGCGTAGACCCGAAACAATCGCAGTGAAACACAACGGCCTAAAATCTTACATGACCTAGTACATACAACCAAGCAGCATGTATTATATTAAGCACACTATCTTTTTCTTTTTCTCTTTTTTGTTTTTTTCTTTCTTTTTCTCTTTTTCTTTCTCTTTCTTTCTCTTTCTCCTTTTATCTTCCTCCCTCCAATTCTTCCAGCTCTGTATTAGTTAATTTAATTATAACAAGTGAGAAAACGAGTTTGATATGTCAAAGATGTTAACTGCTTTTAATGTTTTTCAAAGAATGTATTAACTAGTAGATGCATTCTTCGGCTAATTTTCTTACCCAATTTCTGTTTTACAGTTTTATAGTGTAAAAGTCAACTATCCTAATCTGTTCACATCAGTGATATACATGCATATCCTTTTCACTCATCGCTTCGACGGAAAGAAAAGAGTTCTTTGTCCACACGTATTTCTTTGCAACTTTCATTCCGAACGTCTCTCATAATTCTCTTATTAAGTTTGCTGTCAGTTGCATCACTCCTATGAACTTTCTATCATCTTTCGTGATTAACATTATTATTATTATTTCGCTCGAGAAGAAACTTTTTTAAATTATTGAGGGTATATTACAGAAATAGGGGTCACACGAATGTTTTAAACGAGTTAATAAATTCCTAAAATCTAAAGGCTACATCTCCGAATCACCCAAGCAAAAGCTAATGCAGTTCTTCTATAAATGGAATCCTACGTAAGTTAGTAATCGACGCAGGGCAAACGTCAGTGGTTCCAGTCTTCTTTATCAGAGGACAAGCGCATTGGTGCATTCAATCGCTGTGCAAACAAAATCATAAATCTCTCTTACACTTGACATTGAACGCTAATTGCGGCGTTATGAGGCAGGACCGCTCCAGGCGTTGAACCATGTGCAAAGCGGCTTCACACTGACACGAGACGGCTTTGCGGAGGCTTTTGATAAGGCTCTACAACAAACCGCACTATGGTCAGCGGTGACGTCAGAACAGGATGAAAGGCAACGAAACAGGGACTCTTCATGGAGAAGAGTGGTTCCTTTCAGCAAAGTTAATTATTATGTATCAAATTCTGGTCGTTCTAAAATATAATTTTGTCGTTCACACATTTCGCTCAAACATTTCCATAACTAAAAGGACGTAATTCCCGTTAAATCAAGTAAAATGAAGATTAGAAACCCACACAATTTGTCAAAAAATTTACAGTTTTTCTCACAGCCCAACTCATCAAATGGAAAAAATGTTCCTGTCTATAAATCCCTTTTCACGACCCTTCTCTTTATATTTTTTTCTAAAAAGAGAGAAAAATATGTTTCACAGTCCAAGAGCACAGAAGTTGAGTTTCGGAACTTTGGTCGCATTTTTTCTTTATTTCGCAACCAAATAAGAATTCAAACATATCGATTATGAGAGCATAGGCTTCCGCGGCCGGAGTCAGTATTTACTAGGCTGTTGCATTACGCCCTGAGGAAGGTCGCAGAATGGCGACCGAAACGTCGGCACCTTCGCCATCGACGCGGCGTCACCCGGACAGCCTAGTAAATATATCGATTATGTACCCAAGACCGGACCACTATTCACTTGCTTCTAAGAAATAAAGGATGAAAACACATGAATAATTTTCCTCGAACAATTCATATTTTGGACATGAAACTGCCAATATTTTGATACCTATAAAGTTTTACAGATAAAAAACTGAAAATGTTTCACACAACCGCAGATCAAAGTAGATCCTACTTTTTCTCGTTGACATGTTAAAGTCCAAACCGTTCTTACTTAAATATATTACGAAGTAAACCCCGCCGAAGTGTTTCAAATGCATTACAAGATTTTTTTCTTTTTTATTTGTTTTGTTGTACATATCTTTCACATCTTTTCCCTTGATTATTGTATTTTTATTATTTTTCTATCCTCTTGTGATCTGTCATTCTGATGCAAAAATCCGACAGAAACTCCTTAATTCTCTGCGCTCTCTTTGTGATTGTGAAGTTATTGATAAAACCGATACTTCGTTTTGAAATGAATACCTTTAATACAGTATGTATCCATAATACGTATAATATTTACAAACCCAATTAATACAAAAGTTATACATAAATATGTCTGTAATAAGCAACTAATTTAACCACAGGATTGGCTACAAGAAATGTTTATTAAAATATAATTAAGTACATTAAGGGCACATTTATTTAAATTAAAGTGAATGACATTTCTCTCAATATACAGCAGTGATAACAAAAACCGCATCACCTTTCTCACAGTTGTACTCCTCAATATAATCCCGTAAATACACCAATTTATATGCAAAACTCTAGCAATGATGGTAATGGAATCAGAAACATCATATAACCGACATAAAATACATTATTACCAATTTCTACTATTATTCGTTTAAAAGTTTTGAGAGCAGATTGAATTCGGAAAAATAAATGCCTATCTTTGTACACACGTATGCTTCCGCGGCTCGAATCCATAAATTCTCGGCTATCCGGAATACGCCTCAGGGCCTGCACTGAGGAAGCCTGCGACATGTCAGGCAAGACGCGGCGTCTCCCGGATAGCCGAGAATTTATGCCTATTTTTTTGTACGTGATACCGTTTTTTCGAGCGCTACTGTAGTTATCCGTTTGTGAATGTGCGTGTGTGTGCGCAGAAATGGTGCGCGAGATCCTGGAGCAGCGCGCCGACCTGTACCGCACGATGGCGGAGGACGACGCGGCGCGCCTCGACCTCAGCGACGACGAGCTGGCGACGGAGCGCGAGCCCGCGGAGCCGTCGGACCTGGCCGCGGGCGACGAGGCCAGCTGCGTCGTCGAGAGCTCCGAGATGCAGTCGCACCCGCCCGAGATGGAGGGCGAGGACATGTAGGGCCGTGAGTATCACCCGCCACCCGCCTCATCCCCGGCCCCTGCGAAGACGCACACACACCTCTAGAAAGCGGCTGGGCTTCGATTGATGCCATTGCAGCGCCTCTGACCGGGAAGTTTTATGGATCGACCCTTGCTAGATAGCTGAAGGTCGAGTTATGTAGGGCCGTGAGTATCGCGCGCCACCCGCCGCATCCCCGACCCCTGCGAAGACACACACACACCCCTAGAAAGCGGCTGGGCTTCGATTGATGTCACTGCAGCGCCTCTGACCGGGAAGTCCTATGGATTCAGTCCAGACGACAGTGGCAGTACTTTCGGCTCTTGCTAGACAGCTGAAGGTCGAGTTCTGTCGCTGTCTGGAGGAGAATTTTAGTTGCCGGCTGCTCTGATCGGTAGTTTTCCGTGGTTTCTCCGATCAAACCCAGGCGAATTCTGGAGCAGTACTCTAACAAACGGGCCTCGGTCGGCGCGCGAAATTTCCTTCCTATTCCTTGTTCTATTCTCCCCCCATACACACACCTATCACTAGGAGAGGATTTTATTGACCTAAAACATCGCCAAAAATGATCAATAAAATGATCTTTAAATGTTTTTAAAATGATCTAAAACAAAAGACAAATGACCTAAAACATGTTAACAAAACCACATCAGATGAACAATTCAAGTTGTTGGATACGTTACTGATGTAATAGAGTCTTCTTGCACTCGTTCAAGTGAACCCAGCTTGCAAACTTTTGGTTTGGATAGTTCTTTGCCAGGAAATGTTTTTCTTTAGTTATCGCAAAACTGGCCGAACCAACTGTGGCGCTGATAGGCGTCACAAGAACCTTAGATTACACACTCACAGCGGCTGCCATTAGAATGTCTGAGCAAAGAAATCGAACAAGCTACTCAGGAATCCTTTTGGAACATTTGTTGCATCTCGGAAATATTATTTGATGCAAGTACCATTAAAATGATGTTAAAATCGATTAAATCAGCGAAAAATGCATTAAAATGGCGGGAAATGTCTAAAAATTACTTATTAGTCGAAAATGCAAAAGAATGACGTATAAAAATGGGTCATTTCATTTGGTCATAACATAAAATTAATGTCTATACTAAAAGGCATTGTTGTAAAACGAACAGAGAAAATGACCATTTCAGTAAAATCCGTCCCCTACGTATTACTCATGTCGGGAGACCAGCCGGAAGGTTAGAGCTTGTCCCGTCTGGGCCGATGTCCCCTCCCCCCTAGTGGGAGGTACCTAGGGTGGGAAAACCACGCAAGCCGACGTTCAAGTTGGTGCCGGATCTCGCCATGAGTAATATGAGTAATATTCGGGTAAGTTTTTAAGTAACGACATTTTTTTTTAAATTCGATTAAAAGTACGCTTATAAAAATGGGACAGGCTTCATTTTTAATGAACTCATTGTTTTTTACAGAATTGAAAATGTTGAAAATTGCAAAAATTCAATATTAATTATATTTTCCTTTAATTAAACCTCTTTTAATTACACCTCGCGAGAGGGGGAAGTTCACCGCCACCACCCACGACAAATGCCTTAAATTTACGCAACCAATGACACCAACGACCTTAGCAATTGACGCGCCCGAAATCACTAACTTTTCTCACACCCATCTCTTAATGATAATGATACGGTCAACGCTTAGCTGCGCCTCCCCACTTTGAAGACCATCCACAAAAACGCCCATTCACGAGCGGCAAATATTTCGAAATCTATTATTTAAACACGATCACGAAGTCCCATGGTTTGTGTTTAACGACCTACTGCACCGAGAACTTGGATATTGTCCAAGAAGCATACCGTTCAACCCCCCTCAAAAAAAGTTTCCAAATTTCCTCTACGCCTCATGCCATACACTTCAATAAGCGATAACAAACGTCATGTGGAGACCGAATCCCAAGAAACGGCCAAGAAGTGTATTTGTTTCCCTTTAATTATAATAACATTTAAACAAACTTGTTCGTAATTCACACACACTAAATATACATATGTTACCTTTCGTGTTTTTATTTTTCTTCCCCCTATTGTCTCTCAATGAAATACCAAACATTACTTCTTAATGTCTTGATAAATGTATGTAATACCAAAAGAAAAAACTTAAACTAGTAGTGCTAAACAAAATGTATTCTCGCATTCGGAAGTTACTTAGTATTACAATACTGCCATTTCTGTCCTTACTAACATCACTTGTGAAACTCCTTTCCAACTGTTGTGCATTATGTGAGAACCCGTAATTACGTTGACAGCCGCAAACCGGAGCAATTTCTTATCCATTTGCAAAAAAAATATGATAAAATTAAAATTGAGCAGAATTCTTACGTCATTATACAGCGACGTAAGAGTAGGTTGCTCATGTTTGCCTCGTTTTCGTCCAAGAAAGCCTGCATGTATTACATGTAATACGAATGTAAATCTTGTAAATCTATAAAAATCAAATTACAAACCTGTTGTCTTTTACCATTAAAATATACCTGGAACACTCTAGAAATTTTGGCACAAAACTAACTCTTTTAAAGCTAAAGGTTCTAATTATTTTAAAGCTATCAATACAAATTCAGCAATCCAAACCTACGTTCTATAAAGCCAGAAACGTCATCTAACAATGACATTCATAAAATCACTTCTTAAACAACCTTGTTGGATCACTGTTATTTTCCTATTGTGTGTGTGACGTGTCATGAACTCAGCTGCGGTCACAAGAACACGAAAAATACAAATATTTCTCAAAAAGCTGCAACAGTGAAACTGTTACAGCTAAAACAGTCGTTTTATCTTTATTATATACGCAATTTCCTTATTTTAAATTTACACATTGTATCCACCTAACTCTACACGAAACACTCTTTAGCAAAAGAAGCGCAAAGAGATTTTGCTATTTTCGTAAATTTGTTCTTTTTAAAGTTCACATATTTGAATGATCATCGTACTTTTGCCATATTTTTAAGCCTACCTTGCTCTACTCGAGGAAAGCCTGCTAAAAAATGTTATTCGTGTTGTCAACAACTAAACTCTTCTATGTTCAGATTGACATTTAAAAACATTTTCGCAAAAATAACGAAAACACTGTACGTGAAATTATTTAAAAATATAATACTAAGAAATAAATTCATCCGATAAATAAAACTCTAGCTTCCGTATTAAAGCGTAAGACAAATATGAGAAAAATTTAAACTTTTTAAATATTAAACTCAAAATTACGAGACAACTTTTCACTTTTTTAGAAAAAATATACATGGGATTATTTATTGATATGATTTCTAAAAAGAGGTTTAGTTTAAGGAAAATATAATTAGTATTGTATTTTGCAATTTTCAACATTTTCATTTCTGTAAAAACAATGAGTTCATAAAAAATGGAACCTGTCCCATTTTTATAAGCGTACTTTTAAGCGAATTTAAAAGATGTCGTTACTTCAAAAATTTATATCGAATGAACTGATAGTGGGACCAACGGATAGGGACGGTTGAAATCCGATTTTTCTTAGTTGAGATTCCTGGGCAAAGTTTTCATGCAGTTGGTTGTAGCTCTCCCCAGAAGCGCTGGGATACATAAATTGTAAAAGAAAAATAATGGGACTCTTTTTTTTAAAAAAAGGAACAAGTCATTGTACATGTACGAAAACGATTGTACTAATAATAAATTACTGTACATGTGTATTACTTTATTTACAATTTCCTTGATAACATAAACCGTCTTTTGTCACACAAAATTATGTGTAAATTTCAAATGCATTTAAATGATTTAGTATGTATTCTTTCGAATATTTGAGCAATTAGTTTTGACTTTAGTATAAATTCCCAGGTACATTGTCACTTACATTACATTGTGAGATAATCAAACATACTACATTTGTTACAAATCCGAAAAGTTGCATATATCCTTATTTCCTTCACATCCTGAGGTTTGGACATTCAAACTGTGAAGCAATTCACTGTTAAACCACATCCCTGAAATACACGTATAACTACGTTTTAATTACTGAGAAATTGTTACGTATTAAGTCAATTTCAGACACTCTTCAAACCACAACCACTTCAATTTCACACAAGCTTCAAACCAAATTACATTATACATTTCATGTTAACAATAATCTACAACATATTAGTATTTGTTTGGTCTCTATTTCAGAAAATGCCCATTTCCGAAATATAGATACATGTTCTAACGACCGCTTTAATTAAACGGTTAATCTCAATTAAGGGTCAACCCGTCATTGAACATTTATCCCTCGGAATCTGCCTTTCCATGTATTTTGAACGCGTGTCGTTTACTTTTACAGAGTGAGGGGGAAGGCTTCCCTCCTGCCCTTGTTCTCCACGCGGTAAGTTTACAACACTTTCTTCTGATCTGCATGTCCAAGCAAAACATACTTTATTTATTAATACGCCAAAATATAAAACTATTTACTCTCATAATGTGTTTGTATTGATTGTATGAAGCACTTTTCTTTCATATGCATGATATTGTGTAAATATACATTAAATGACATCAAATATATTAAGGTCGTGAAGATGATTCATTACCTTGTAATATACCATCACGATTTGTAAGAAGAAATCTAATATCAAAGGAAGACAGATCTTCGAAAATTGTTTCGGTTCTTTTTCTGGAGGAAGTTATGACTGGTGTTTGCCTAGAGAATGCATCGAGAACATTGCCGATTCCTAGAAGCACAATTTTAATCCACTTTGAGATCCTACAAATTGTGGAAATGAGTCTTTCCAGGTGCTAGTATGATAAATTAGATGCATACCAATATTGTAGATGCCATTCTTCAACATTAATAATTTTGAAAATGAACATTATTTATCAAGTTATGTTCATTTTTCTTTCGGAAGAGCTACATTACAAGCGTGCTCCTCATGCACGGAATAAATTTTACTATTGATGAAACCAATACGTTAACAGTTTAGTGCACAAAGCATGACAAATCACAAAACCCGCAAAAAAACACAGTCGACTCTCTGCATTTTGATAATCGATTATTATATTATTAGTGAAACATGTCATTGCAATTTATTTCAATTTAATAACTTTAACGTCAAAACATGAGACCCCTGAAGCCCAAGTGGCGTAAATACATTTTTAATTGTGTTGCTAATCGTGTAACACGAACATACAACTACCTTATTTCTACTGTTAAAAGAATGCCACTTGCTGACTAATATTATCAACCTAATTAAAAATTGAGTTTCACCACTTGGGCTCATATATTGAAACTATGTTGTGTTCAACACTAGAATTGTGTGAAGTGTAATATTCTCTTTCATTCATCAATTTCTCTTATTTCACGTTCGTATTTGTATTTAGCCATTGTATGTCCCGTAAAGGACAATTGGCCTTGGAGCAGTTAGATCCCGGGATTCCTAGTGGGTCACCCAACCAATAACCCACGATGTCTCAAATTCGCAAAACCTTCGTGACGTAGTTACCAAATTCGGCTAGCGTCGCCGGTTTCGCCGTCGTGACCTTTCAGAAGAACCATCCCGGCATTCGCCTTGATGACCGAGGGAAGCAACGAAAACCCCGGTCAGGAATGGCCGGCAAGGCGATTGAACCCGGGCCTCGCGAATGCGAACTCAGCTCGCTACTCCCTGAGCCACTTCGCTCAGTCTTGTTTCACGCCAAGGCGGCTCCACACATTCCGCATTCGCCGAGAAGCTAGCTACTGCTTGACCAATCCCGAACAGCTGAAGTGTTCGACGAATGTTCGGTCCCTCTGATGTATCTTAAAGACCGACCCGCGGTGTGAAAAGGCATTCGCCGAGCAGCGAGCTACTGCTCGCCCAAACCCGAACAACTGATGTGTTCGGCGATTGTTCGCTCCCTTTGATGTGTCCTGAAGACCAACACGCGATGGGTAGGGCGAATACCGAACGTTTGGCGCTTGGCGAATCGCAAGCAACTCGTCCACGCTACTCGATTTGGATTGATTGTTTAGTGATTCTGGGCATGTCAACTACCAGAGTCATTAGTCCTGTAAGTGTGATGCATGTTTTTTTGCTCGGGAGGTGCCGGTGGTCTTTACCCCGTTGTATGGCAAGATCCGGCGCCGACCTACCGTCGGCTAGCGTGGTTTTCCCCAGCCAGGTATCTCGCACCAGCTGAGCTACGCCCCAGCCGGGACACGCTCTTAGCTCCAGACGGGTCTTCCGGCATGCCACACTATTCGGGATTCGGCGAGCGGTTGCTCGGGATTCGCCGAATACCGAATGTGTGTAGCTGCCTTAAGGGCATAAGGAAAGGGGGCGATATATAAGTGGCGAAAGACTTGAGGGGGGGGGGGGGCTCACCGTGTAGGCAGTGGACTCTGTCACGTATCAGAATGTTCGGCGAATCGCAAGCAATCCGTCCACACTCTTTGGGATTCGGCGAGCGGTTGCTCTGGATTCGCCGAATGTGTGTAGCCGCCTTTGGGGCATAAGAATAAGGGGACGATATTTCAGTGGCGAAGGACTTGGGGGAGGGGGAGAGGGCCCCACCGTGTAGGCAGTGGACCCTGTGACGTATCCGAATCTTCGGCGAATCGCAGTCAAACCGTCCACATTACTTCGGATTCGACGAGCGGTTACTCGGGATTCGCCGAATGCCGCATGTGTGGAGTCGTCTTTACGTAACGTTGCGCTCTAACAAGTAGAAGAAGACGTCAAGGAGGTTGAATTGCCTAACGTAACGCCTCCTAACCCTCTCCGCCCGTCAGGCGCGCGCCCGCCGCCCGGCGCGTGCAGTAAGTCACCCGCCGCGGGCGTTCTCTGAGGCGCCCAGTAGCTTTCCGCCGCGCCCGCGTGATTCGCCCACGCTCGCACGGGTCACCGTCCGCGCGGAGCGCCAGGGGCGCGTGACGTCACCGTGCGGCGGCTCCTGCCTGCGTGACCGGCGCACCAGCGTCCCCAAGGCCAAGCGATGTGTCCGGGTGAAAATTGCTTCTTTCATGACTCCCAACTGCCGAGAAACAGGCGGACTAAAACCGCTGGGATGTGTTAGACTGCGAAGTAATGGCGAGTTTAGCGATCATTAGAATGAATGTGGTGGAATTCAAAGTTCTTGGGGCGACAGCATTTTTACATTTTCGATTTCTAAACGTAAAATTTGTCAGTCATAAACTTGTTTTTCATTCTCACATTTTTTTGGTGTTATATATATTTAGTAACATATTTATTACAAAATAAAATATTACAGAAATAGGCGTGCTAATACTGCTGAGATGTGTTGGATTGCGAAGTAATAGCGAGTTTAGCGATCATTGGAGTGACTGTAGGAATGGTGGAATTCAATGTTGTTGGGGTGACAATATTTTTATATTTTCGCTTACTAAACGTAAAATTTGTCAGTTATAAAGATATTTTTCATTTTCACTTTTTTTGGTGTTTTATTTATTTAGTACCATATTTATTACAAAAATAAAATATTACATGATATTACGTTGTTACGACTAAGGTCTTTAAGCCGTTACGAACCCTACACAGAAATAGGCGTGATAATACTTCTGAGATGTGTTGGACTGCGAAGTAATGAGTTTGGCGATCATTAGAGTGAATTTGGTGGGAGTGGTGGAATTCCATGTTGTTGGGGTGACAACGTTTTTACATTTTCGATTACGAAACTTAAAATTTGTCAGCTATGAGCTTAATTTTATTTTCACGTGACTATCGCTATTTTTAACATTATTTATTTACGAGCCAATTTATTACAAAAATTAAACGCTACATGATACTATGTTGCTAGGAAGAATGTCTTTAAGTCATTATGGGGCCTACACCTTATATCTCTTTAAATTTTCGACTCCTGACAATCACCATAAATGATCACATCATCGCTCCAAATGTGCGAAAAAGAGATTGAATGGCGCAGCTGACAAAAAAAACACCACCAGAAGACAAATACTTCGATCTGTGTAACTGTTTCTAAACTACTTAATACCAGTCACGTGAGTCACATGTTTTCTTCTTCGAGACTTGGGTATCATCAGCATCTAAAAGGAAACAGCAGCCGAGAAAATCGTACGCAATTCAGATCCAATTCTTTCAAGTTGGACGCTCATTCTATGAAAAATATTGAGTGTGGCCATCTCGTGGCCATTCGACCACGAACCACCTGGTGGAATTGGCGCGTTACGAAGTCTCTGAGTACTCATTTTTCCGCATTCTTGAGGAATGTCTCTAAAGTACTTACTTCTTAATTAGCCTATTATTACAAGCAATCACTTATTTCTTAAGTATAAGCTTTATTCCTTAAGAGTCGACACTAAATCCAGCCCCTAATCATTTTGCTGTTTTCGTAAACGTTTCCTGTGTCATGAAATCAGGAGATTTCCCTTCTTTCTTGTGGTAGTAAAACCCAATAAGGTCCGTGGACTTCAAATTTGCGTACTTACACCGGAGTCTTTATAGTTCCTTCTAAAGTTTTTCTACGACAAATTAATTATGAAGTCAACTAAATTGGTTTAGTTAAATAGTCTGTCTCACTGCCATTTCTCCACTTTTTAAAAAATTGTATACACATATTTCAAAATTCAGTAGTACTTACTGAATCTACAAGATCTTCCTTCAGAACTTTCATTCTTCTCTTGCCAGTTCTCATACTACGTTTCAGTTCTATTATTTACCTACGAGAGAATTATTTCTTCATAAGTAATTTCAAAAATCATCTTTTCAAACTCAAAGTAGTTACTCTTCTAATACACACATATCAATACATTATTTTTTGTATATTGTTATATTTCTCTGGGTGTAAAACCATTAATTACATCTTCAATTTGCTTCTTTACCTATTCCGATTTATCAGCACGACATGTAAGCAGATGAACGATGTACAATTTAAGAAGTAATATAATGATATTGTTTCTGTGGTTTTCGTTTCGAAGATACATGTTTTTATTTTTGAAATAGTGTTAAAATAAAAAGTGTATTATTTATTCTCACTTGAATATAATTAACTGCAACGTTATTGAATTCGGACATGACCTTGTTTATCTATGGTTCTAAAATTTTAAGTATAAACAATTTTCGAGTATGTTTGATACCCTTTTCATGAGGAAAATTACTGCTTACTTAGAACTTAGAAATGTTCGTAACAATTTTCGTTGAAATAATTGAGAGAAAGGAGAAAGTTCACAAGGCCTGTCAAGATACAAGACAAGATATGTCACAAGTTAAATGTAAGCAGAACACACACGTAATGGGCTTTATTTTCGAATTTTCATTATGTAAATATCAGCACTTTAAATCCTATTCAAAAATATTTCTCCTTTTTTATTTTAACTACAAATTCTATACAAATATATTGGTGCTTGAGTGTCGTAATAAGTTATTCATAAAATGA